TATGTTTAATCAGGTTGAAGTGCTTACAATAGAGCCCAAATCTTTTAGGTGATTGTGAATTTTTCATATAATGGTAGTAAAGTTTTTATATTTTGTTTTTGAGACAGAGCCTCACCCTGTCCTCCAGGCAGGAGTGCAGTGGTGCCATTCTCGGCTCACTGGAACCTCCAACTCCTAAGTCCAAGCGATTCTCTTGCCTCAGCCTCCCAGGTAGCTGGGATTACAGGCGCCTGCCAACACTCAGCTAATTTTTCTATTTTTAGTAGAGATGGGGGTTTTACCATGCAGGCCACACCGGTCTCAAACTCCTGGCCTCAAGTGATCTGCTCACCTTGGCCTCTCAAAGTGCCGGAATTACAGGCGTAAACCACTGCACCTGGCAGTAGTAAAGATTTTAAAGAAGGGGAGCATATGCATGCCTTTCTTGAACCAGACTTTTAAGTCTTGTTAATAATTATAATAATGTGTAATAAAGAATGAAGTACTTGCTTGTTTTACTAATAATATTTTTACATAAAGTGGCTAGATTTTTTTTTTTTTTTTTTTTTTTTTTGAGACATGATCTCACTCTGTCACCCAGGCTGAAGTGCAATGGCGTGATCATGTCTCATTGAAGCCTCAGCCCCCTGGGCTCAGGTGATCCTTCCACCTCAGCCTCCTGAGTAGCTGGGACCACAGGCATGCACCACCATGCCCAGCTAATTTTCTTTTATTTTTAGTAGAGACGGAGTTTTGCCATATTGCCCAAGCTGGTCTCGAACTTCTGAACTCAAATGATCCACCCACCTTGGCCTCCCAAAGTACGGGGATTACAGGCGTGAGCCACGCGGTCCAGCTGATTTTTTTTTTTTCCTTAACCAGAAGCTAATACTAGCTTCTGAATTTTTGTTGAAGAAATCTATGAACAAATTTGCTCTCTTGTTACAACTACTAGACTACATAATTTTTTTTTAGAATCTTTTCTAAAGAAACCTTTCGTTCTCCCTCTATTACAATTCTGCAACTGTGAAGTTTTACAGGAATGGGAACATAAAATATAAGAAAAACAAAAACTGTTTTTTAAATAAAATCATTCAATATGTTGTAAATTAAAATAGTCTGAAACACTTAACTTTCCAGGAACATGGAAGTGAATTCTTTTGGTCTTACTGCTTAATTTTTCATTCATAAAGAGTAAATTGAATCCCAGCACTTTGGGAGGCTGGGTGGATCACCTGAGGTCAGGAGTTTGAGACAAGCCTAGCTAACATGGTGAAACCCCATCTCTACTAAAAATACAAAAATTAGCCAGGCTTGGTGGCGCATGCCTGTGGTCCCAGCTACTCAGGAGGCTGAGGAAGGAGAATTGCTTGAACCTGGGAGGCAGAGGTTGCAGTGAGCTGAGATCACAACACTACACTCTAGTCTGGGTGACAGTGGGAGACTCTGTCTCAAAAAAAAAAAAAAGAGAGATAGAATAATTTCTTAGGATGATTTGACTACCTTCATTCTTGTTTTGGTTTGCTGACAGTGGGTGAAAACTGAGACATTTACCTTTGAGGCCAACAAAGATGCCTTTTAGCTTGCAGAGTGAAATTCTAATATGCTTGTTGAGGACTCTGCTTTTTCTTTTCTCTTTCTTTTTTTTTTAAACTTGTCCTCTTTATAATTACTGAATTTAAAGGATGTGTATTATATATAAAATTTTGATTCAGTCACTCTAAAGGGAGAGAATAATTAAAACCTGCAGGATTGTCTCCTAAGAAATGCTGCTGCTTTTTTGTTTTGTTTTTCACTTTTTCTTTTCTTGTTTTCCCAACCACCAGGCCACCTGGGAAGAAGTGCTATGGTTTAAAAAGGAATTTAGTCTCTCAGCACTTTGGGAGGCCAAGGCAAGCAGATCACCTGAGGTCAGGAGTTCGAGACCAACCTGACCAACATGGAAACCCCGTCTGTACTAAAAATACAAAATTAGCTAGGTGTGGTGGCACATGCCTGTAATCCCAGCTAGTTTGGAGGCTGAAGCAGGAAAATCGCTTGAACCCGGGAGGTGGAGCTTGTGGTGAACGGAGATGGTGCCATTGCACTCTAGCCTGGGCAACAAGAGCAAAACTCCATCTCAAAAAAAAAAAAAAAAAAAAAAAAAGTAGTCTCTTTCCTACTTGCATAAAGTAAATGCAACAATATCAGTAATGTTTGGAAAATAGTTTCACCTTAAGGGTGAAACCCCTCACTGTTTTTGGTTATAAGCTTCTATCCAGTTCCTTAACTTATGAACAGAATTTTTACATTTTTAGTAAAAGTTCTCTGAAAACATGAAATTGACTAGAAAGTTAATATATATCACCTCATGAATATTTAAAATCTCTCTCTGTATCTTATTTTTAGAAAGAGTGGTCTGAAGATTATAGAAGTAATAGCTAAAGTGAAGACCTTATATTGACTCCTTATGATGTTAGATACCACTTTTCTTAGTAAAGAAAACATACTCTTTTCTTAGTAAAGATGTAACTGGAATTTAGGTGGTAATCCATAGGTAAACATTGGATCTGTGAGGTTTTTTTAATTTCAGCTTTTATTTTAGATATAAGGGCTATATGTGCAAGTTTGCTACATGAGTATATTGCACCTGGGTAGTGAGCATAGTACCCAACAGGTAGTGTGTCAACCCACTTCACCCTTTTTCCTTCCCTCTGCCATCTGTGGGTTTTGTTTGTCGTTCAGTTAACTGCATTCTAGCAGAACTGAGTCTTTTCAGTTTTTTTATTTTTTATTTTTTTATTTTTATTTATTTTTTTTTTTTGAGAGTTTCTTGCCCTGTCGCCCAGGTTGCAGTGCAATGGCGCCATCTTGGCTCACTACAACCTCTGCCTCCCAGGTTCAAGTGATTTCTCCTGCCTCAGCCTCTTGAGTAGCTGGGATTACAGGCATGCGCCACCACGCCTGGCTAATTTTTGTTTTTTTAGTAGAAATGGGGTTTCACCATGTTGGCCAGGGTGGTCTTAAACTCCTGACCTCCGGTGATCCACTCACCTTGGCCTCCCAAAATGCTGGGATTATAGGCGTAAGCCACTGCAACTGGCCTCTTTTCATATTTTTTTAGTTTTAAATTTTTTACTTGGCGTAGAGGCAGAATGACTTGTAATTACACAAAGCAATATGGAAAACAAGCATATAGGCAGAGTTGGCAGAGGAGGCAGGGATGAATGACACAATAAAGGGAAAACAAGGAAATAGGGAAAAGAAAGGAGGTGATTTGAAGGGTGCCTTATTTAGGGCCTATTTTGTTTGATTTTAGAGGCTGATATTTGATCCTTGCTACAGGCTTGAATCTCCTTTGTCTTTGCTTTCATTAAAGCCACACGCACCTGTAATCCCAGCACTTTGGGAGGCTGAGGTGGGTGGATCACTTGAGCTAACTAGTTTAAGACCTGGGCAACATGGTGAAACCCTGTCTCTACAAAAAAAAAATACAAAAATTAGCCCGGCATGGTGGCATGCACCTCTAGTCCCAGCTGCTTGGGAGGCTGAGGTGCAAGGATGGCGCAAGCCCAGGAGGTGGAGATTGCAGTAAGCTGAGGTTGTGCCACTTCACTCCAGCCTGGGCGACAGAGCCAGACCTTGTCTTAAAAAAAAAAACCACACGAAGCATCTTTCTGGAGTGTTGATGTTACGTTACAGTAAGTAGTATAAACACATTTATGGTCACTTAGCAGTTCGCTTAACAGATTTTACTAAATGCTCACCGAGGCCAGAGTTTGTTTTAGACTTGATGGTGTGAGGAAGCAAGGTGGGGGCAGGGAATACACTGAGAAGGCATCTTAGAGAAAGTGAAAACCATAAATTGAGATCTGAACAATGAATAGAAAATAGCTTTGTAAAGCAGAGAGGGAGAAGTAATACAGATCAAGAGGAAAAAAGATTGGCGAGTACAAGAAGGACAGAGGACTTGCAAGCCCTGTCAGGGCACTGGATCCTAGATGTAATGGGAAGCTAAATGACACGATCAGGCTGACATTTTGCAAAAATAACTCTAGTAGTAGATTTGGAAAATGAATTGCAGAAGGGCAAGACCGGTGGTGATACCGGTTAGGACATTATTGCACTAGTCCTGGTTATGGGAGTGAGGGGCTGGTTTGGATTAGGGTAGTGGAGGTAGAGGCTTTGGAGAAACAAATGGACAGATTCAGCGGATATTTAGGAAGCCTAATAGACAAGATACAATGATCGATTGGATGTTGGGGGTGAAGAAAAAGGAAGCTTTTCAGATTTTTCGGTGTGTATATCCAGGTTGAGCTAAAATAGGGAAATGGGGAGAATAACAGATTTTGGTGGAGGGTGCAGGGGAGATCATGCATTCAGTTATGGAGTTGGTGCCTGTGAGATCTAAGTATAATTGTAACAGGTGGACATAAAGGTTAAGGGGGTCAGAGAAAAGTGGCCTTTTACAATTTGTTTTTAGTGGGGAGAGCAAACGGAAAAGCACTTATAGAGAGAGGTTGATCTTTGATGTGACAGTCTCTTGTGGACTGATTTATTCATAAGACAGTGGTATATAAACTTGTTTATCAGTCATTGAGAAATGTAGTATACTGGCTGTTCATGTTCACTGTGCACTCTTCTATGGACATACTGACATGAGAATTCGTATCACAATGAGAATAACATTTGAGCAAAGCATTAGAAAGGACATCAGATGAGCCCAATGGTTAATATCTTGTATAATGATTTATTGTAATTATTTTCTTGTAGAAAATTGCTTCAAGAGTCACTTTGCAGGAAAGGAGGGGGGCTTGTTTCATTTTAATTTTACTTACACTTAAAAGTAGAATTTAAAAATACTTGGCATTTTCATAGATTAAATTTCTAATGTACAGTGGTGAGTGTTGTAGACAAAATATTTTAACAAGCTTTTATCGTTATTTTTGTACCTCAGAATAGGGTGAGTTTGTTCAAATTAGTTTATTGCTGTTTAAAACCATTTCTTTTTTTTTTTTTTTTTTTTTTTTCTTATTTTAAAGAAATGGCTGCAAGCAACTGACCTCACTAGAGAAGTGTACCAGCATTTAGCCCACTCTGTACCGAAAATCTACTGCAGGGGTCCCAACCCTTTTCCACAGAAAGAAGACATGCTGGCACAGCATGTTTTGTTGGGACCGATGGAATGGTACCTTTGTGGTGAAGATCCTGCCTTTGGATTTCCAAAACTTGAACAAGCAAACAAACCTTCTCATCTTTGTGGTCGTGTTTTTAAAGTAGGAGAGGCTACATACTCTTGCAGGTAAAATATTTTAATTTTCTTTCTAGGAGGCTCTTGTTTTATTTGACCTCTTTTTTTCCCTGAAACCTTAAAATTTTGTTTAAAAACTTCTGTATTATAAATACATGCTATTTAATAAAAATATATAGATTATATGTAACATATAATTTAAATAATTATAAAACGAACATTCTTATAATTATTCTTGAGATCAAAAAATAGATTGTCACTGGCATTCTGGAAGCCTACTGTGTGCTTTCTTCCTTCCCCTATAATTAACTGACATCTTGACTCTTACTATAATCACTTTCTTGCTTTTCTTGATATTTTTTAGTTACAGTAATTCTGATGTTCAGATTGCCCTAGATTTGGCTAGTGAGAGCCCCGTCACACCAGCTCCTTTGTCTTTTTTACATACCTTCATTAGTTTGTGGGTGCTTCTTTCCTTTCTGGCACAACAAGATGCCCTCTGCTCACTTTGTACTTGCTCTGACCCATATGTCGAATCAGCCATTTCTTAAAGGATTTTTCTTTCATTTCGGAATGGTAGTTAGAAACCAAGATATGGGTGCTATACATATTTACTGCTATTAGGAAGACTTTTCTTTTTTAAATTTCTTATTGTAAATTGAGTATACAAAGGTAAAAAATGGAGAATAAAGTGCCTTGTCTCTTTTTTGACTATCCTACTTTCCAGAATTAATAATTATTAACATATATCCTTTCAGGAATTAGGTAAAAAGAAAAATTTCTTTTTCTTTTCTTTTTTTTTTTTCCTTTGAGACAGAATCTCGCCCTGTTGCCCAGACTGGAGTGCAATAGCATGATCTTGGCTCACTGCAGCCTCTGCCTCCTGGGTTCAAGGAATTCTCCTGCTTCAGCCTCCTGACTAGCTGGGATTACTGGCGTCCACCATGATGCCCAGCTCATTTTTGTATTTTTAGTAGAGACAAGGTTTCACCATGTTGGCCAGGCTGATCTCGAAATCTTGACCTTAGTTGATCCACCCACCTCAGCCTCCCAAAGTGCTGGGATTACAGATGTGAGCTACCTCACCTGTCCTCTTTCAGAAATTTTCTTTGTGTATATAGGCCAAGATATGTGGCAGTTTTAAACCTACATACATATACACATAAATAAAGATGGGAATATATTACATCTACTGAGCTAAATTTTCTTGTCTGTATTTGACACTAGCTTAACATCTTTCCATATCAGCTTATGTAGCTAGCTAATATTCTTTTGTGTGGATGTGCTGTTGGTGGAGACATTATTTAACTTTTTCCTTAAAACTTTTTCCTGTAAAATTTAAATTTAATAAGCTAATTTTGGTGAATGCCTCTGGGTATCTACGGTAGTTTTTCTTTATCAGCATATTTAGAGTCTCAATAGAGAACAGTATATATATTGAAAGACTATTAGATCTAGTTTTTTGTTTACTATTACAGAAACCACTTTGAATATTTTGTTGATGTTTGGAGCAGTAGACCTAGTTGAACCTCCTAATTTACAGTTGAGAAGTTGAGACCCTATTGTTCTAATAATGCCCTTTGTATCAATAGGATCTAGTTCCAAATCATTCATTTGTATATCTTATCTTTTAATCTTCAGTCTGGAACGTTTCCTCAGTTTTTCTGTGACTTTCATGATCTTGACACATTTAAAGATTACAGACCAGTTATTTTGTGAATGTCCCCTCAATTTGGGTGTCTGGTTTTCATAATTAGATTCAAGTTGTGTCTGTGACAGGATTACCACAGAAATAATGTGTTTCAACCCTGTCAGGTGGTATATATGATTTTGATTAGTTCTGTAACTGGTGATATTGATCACTTGATTAAAAGGATGTCTGCAAGACTTTTCCGCTGTAATATTACTCTTTTCCCCTAGGTGATCAGTAAGTATGTTGTGGGAAGTACTTTGAGACTATTAATAAAGTATCCTCTTCATTATCAAACTTTCAATTTATTTATTTATTTATATCAGTATTTGTGGGGTCTCATTATTATGCTCAAATTGTCCTAGATTTGGCCAGTAAGAGCCCCTTCGAGCTGTCTTTGTTCTTTTTCATATCTCCCTCATTCTTTGAGCTCTTTTTCTTTTCCTTTCCTTTTCCTTCCTTCTCCTTTTCTTTTCTCTTCTGTTTTTTTCTCTTTTCTTTCTGGTATAAGATGTCCCAGGCACATATTAAGCTTTTCCCTGCCCCAACCTTGGAAATCAACCATCTTGCCAAGGAGCTTGGTTCTTTTTAGTGTAAAATGGTGTTTACAAATAAGATGGTAAGTGTGCTGGTTGCTGTTGGTGTTATAACTCTCAGGCTGTCTCAGTAGAGCTTTTCTTTTATAACCTATCTAAATAAATGTATTGAAATAGATAGTGAAAACCGTGCATTTGTAGTGAGCTCTCCAGTTCCCATCTAAGATTCTTTCCAGTTTTCTTCCTTTGCATATTTTTAATTTCCTTCTCTGACAAGAGAAAACTCGATTCTCATTTTCCTCAAAATATTTGCTTATTTAATTATTCCTGTGTATGCAACTATCGCTGTTGCTGCTGCTGCTGCCGCCGCCGCCGCCAAATTCTTTTTGCATAATCGCCCTCCTTTACCCTACTTGGATTTCGTGTTCTGTACTGGGCCACAGTGGCCTTTCCTTCCTCTTTTTTTTTTTTTTTTTTTTTTTTTTTTGAGATGGAATCTCACCCCATAGTGCAGTCTGGATTGTAGTGGCATGATCTCAGCTCGCTGTAACCTCCACCTCCCGGGTTCAAGCGATTCTCCTGCCTCAGCCTCCTGCATAGACGACTACAGGTGCACACCAGCTTATCTGTGTATTTTTAGTAGAGATAGGGTTTCACCATGTTGGCCAGGCTGGTCTCAAAATTCCTGACCTCAAGCGATCTGCCCGCCTCAGCCTCTCAAAGTACTGGGATTACAAGTGTGAGCCACCCCGCCTGGCCTCCCTTCTGTTTTGTCAGGACAGATCCAAAATAAGTCTTGTTCTAGGATGTATAGTTTTTCTTATTTGTGGGGAAGTCCCACAAATAACAGAGACACTCTGACCACATAAGTGATGCCAGGGGTTTAGAGTTTACCTCCCAGGAACCAGATCAAAGACCGGCCAGATTCTTTATCACAGTGTTGTTGAGAGGGTAAATGAGATCCTTTGTAGTGCTTTACACAATACTTGGTACACAGTAAACTCACAGTAAATGGCCATGCTGGGTGCTGGGGATGAGTATCTCATTTTAAAAGTAGGTGTTCCCATGAAACCTAGTGCACTGGTAAATGACATAGAGTCTGTTATTTGGAAAGATGAAATATGGTTATTGGAATTCTGGGGAGGTTTCTAAACTGCACCCTTCAGGATAGAGGTAACTGATATCCATTATATGGGAGGTTTCTTTAATGAGAAAAAATGATTTAAAGGATCTTCTGTATATAGTACTTAGAAAAAGGATTTGTGAAGGGAATAGATTAGTTTTGCCATGGAGAGTTATTTGTTCATAGTTTCTAAAATTGTGTTGGCCACAAATTATTTTTCTGAAGTCTCCATGGTGTCAGAAAAAAGCTATCTGGGTGTTTATAGGCAGTAAGCTACTTTTTATTTACTCTATTAGGAAAAGAGTGGTCAAACTTAGCATTTGTTATTCATTACTGAATAGAAATGGTTTTAGAGTATAAAAATCTTAGTTGACAAAAACCTTAGTGTTGATTTTGATAATGTATATTTTGACATTTTATAACCATTAAGAAAAAACACTAGTAGATTATGAAATCATACTTTCATGAGTAACTTAAGTTTTTAACTTAATACTTCTGTTAAGATATAGAGAAGTGAGATTTCATTCCCCTGTTTTTTTAGTATAGTTAAATTGAGAACCTTCTTTTTTAACATTTAAAAATGTATCGCATGAATGTTTTAGATAATCAGAAATCAGCATTGGGGGCAGGGGTGGCTTATGCTGCCATCAGGAGTATTTTTGTTTCTAGATAGTATTTTATGATACTTTATTAAATAATTTTGCTTAATTTTTTTTGCTTTAATGCTAGTTTGTATTGGTATATAATTGTACGTATTTATGGGGTATATGTGATATTTTTATACATGCACATAAAGTGTAATGATCAAATCAGGGTAACTAGGATGTCCATTACCTTGAACATTTATCATTTCTTTCTGTTGGGATGTTTTGACTCTGATTCTGTTGGTCATGACAGTTGAGATTATGCTAAAAATGACAACTCTATAATTCCAAAGACTTTAAATACCAAGATATATTTATTACTCAGACTGTGTGACCAATTCAGATGAGTGCCGTGGTAAGTAGAGGGCTCTGCTCCAGGTAGTTTCTTCACCCCATCTTATATTTCCACAAGCTTGGCGTAATGCTTTCAGGGTTCACCACAGCAAGAGCAGAATAGAGCTTGTAGATCATGCCCAGCAAGTAAATACTTTGTCTCAGAAATGATGACCTTGCCCAAGTCTCATTAGGCAAAACTAGTCCGAATGCCTCTGTCCAGCTACAGAACAGGTTGGGAAGGTGTAATTCTCCTAAGTCTCAGGGATAGATGAAACTGGGATGTGGATGAGCATTAAAAGTGTCTTTAGCAATGATTTTTTTTTTTTTATGTTTTTTAGAGTTATTTTTCCTCCCTGAGTCATTAGGATAAAATGAAGTAACGTGTGTAAAAGCACATAGGTAACTATAAAGTATATATGTGTGAGGTTTTTTAAAATTGAATACTCTTCTTCATATAAATTACTGAGCCATGATAAGCAGAGGGGTGCAGATAGTTCCAGTTCCTTTTCTGTGTGGAAATAATAAAGCTCTCATATGGAAGAATGACTTATTTCCATGAAGAGGGGTTGTTCTTTCAGTTTCTTGCTTTTTAAAAACCTTGAAGTCTTGATCTCTTTCAGGGTTCTATTTTAAAACTGAGTGTTAGGCTGTTATTGCATTGCTATACAGAAATACCTGAGGTGGGATAATTTATAAAGAAAAGAGGTTTAATTGGGTCACAG